ATGTGCTGTAATTCAGGCAGCCCAAAATGCCATGTGAGGAAAACCAGGAAGGGAAACTCAGCTGCAAGCACGTCCTGGATGTGCAAAGGGGTGAGAAATGGCTGGTGGCCAAATGTAACACACTGGTGGGTTTTAGGGTACAAATACTGAGTTCAGTATTATCTTACAATAAATAAATAAATAAGTCAAAATCATGCACTCCAGAAGTGCATAGTTCCTGTTTGAAATGCAGACGACTTTTTTACCCCCCATGGTATCCATTATTGCAAGCTGGGAGCAAATGGGTGACATAAACTTGGTTCATTTTGTCAAGGTTACCACCATAACAGCAATCCCATAGACCCAAGTTCAATAATGTGTAGATCCGAACTATTACCAAACTCCAAAAAGCAATTAAATCAGTGGGAAGTTAAAAGTTTAATAAAATAACAGGAGCTCAGATGTTTTGTAAGTCTGGGTTTAAATGTCTTAACTATGGACACTTTGGTCCGTTGTCAATCAAGTGCAAAACACCAAGGGTCCAGGCTGGTCAAATAGGCAATGCTGATCCTGCAGCTCAAGGCTGCTGAAAGGAGCAGTACTTCTTCTCTTCCTTCTCTTTTTTTTTGTCACTGATGCCCTCCATGATGATGTGGTTTTGAAAACAACTACACTTTCTTACTTGAAACAAAGGACTAATGGCTTAATATTTAACCTGTAGCTGTTGTCAGCTATTTAACCTTGTCCAGAAGTGAAGAGGTAATTCCCCCTTGCTAATGAAACTGTAAAAGAAAACTTAAAACAACCTGTGCCAGTTTTCTGGTGGAAAGTCACAGTTCAGTAAAGCTGCACAGCTAACAAGTGTCGACCTTTTGTTCCCAGCCATCCAAGTACATTAAAATCTTACCAAAATGCAATTATGCAGTCTTAGACACAAAATGTAGGGAAATGAATAGGTATACTTAAACAAAACAAGGAGAGAAAAAATAAAAAAAAAAGGCTGTAGGGAAGATCAGACAGATACAGTCAGAGCAGGGTAAGTGTTGCTTTCATGGCAGGCCGGAGAAAGAACTGTTCTAATTTTACCATAGTGGTTCTTGGCTGGTTGTAACGTTTTTGTTATCAGAGCAGATTTCTTTATTTGGACAAAGAGTGACTAAGAAGGGGTGATTTATTCACATTAACAGACAGTCACTACTAATGACTCATTAACATATGATCAGAGAGGGTTGGTAACCCTCCAGGCCTGTGAACAGGGCAGTGCAGATTAGTGGAACAGACAAACCAGGACGAGTCTGCCTTCAAAAATTTGTTTCAGGAAAGTAAGCCCGATAAGGAGGCTGTTACTTATTAAGCACCTAGACGGACTAGTGGATATGCCTGTTCAAGGAATGGTCAGATAGAGATTTCTCAAACTCCTTGAAGTCATATTAAATTTGAGACTTACACAGTCCTCGGCTCTTAATAGCCTGGAGGTGCTAGACACATACATCCAAAGGGAACAAATGAGGTTTTGAGAGATGCAGCCCTGTACCACAAAACCTGTCTGTGGCACTGAAGGCTGAAACTTGCTTTTTAGCCGCTGCTCTGCTACAGCCTCATGATAGGTTTTAACACAATCGGGCTTATCTGGGAAGAAATCCCACTTCTTGCATCTCTTGATCCAGCAGCTCTCCTGATTTTCACTAAATGCCATTTTTGTGAGACCTTTCGTCTCTCTTTAGAGAAGAAGAAAAAAAAAAAAAAAAGCAGTACAGATCTCTGCAGAGAAAATGCTATTGCCTTCTGACTCAGTCACCAAAAAAAAATTAAAAAAAAATTGTTTTGATGTAGAATTGTTCCTGCATGTACATCATCAGGCAGAGTTTGAAATTTTGGTGCAGAATTTGTTCATTTGGCACAGCTTGCTGTCTTGTGCATAATTTTGTTTTGAAATGCCCGATTTCATCATTTCTCTGTTGCTGGACTGGATTAAGTCCAAATGAGCTCTTATCCTCCTTTCCTGTAACCAGGCTGGTCTCACATCCCCCATAACCAGAGCAGTGACTCCTTATTTTGAAAGAGGTGAAGCTAGCTTCCATTTCCCAGCCCTTATTAGTGATCATCTCCAGACTCCTTTGAAAAGCCTCTAGCAGCCAGAGGTAAGATCACACTGAAAGTTCAATCTCCTCCTTATCACTAATTCTGGGAAGGGATTGCAGTGGGAAACCGTGGCCTGGCTGGAGGTCCAAGTTCTCATTGCAGGCTATGCAATCTCTCCAAGAAGAGAGATCCAGAAGCCAAAAATATCTGATGCATGTATCCAGCTGTCCCTTTGTTTTACCACAGATGACCTCAACACCAGTGGGGACAAAAGGATGCTGCACTGTTTTCTGCTAAATACCCGTGTCCCATCACATTCCCTCCCCAATTATAAAATTTGCTCTGCCTGGGAACCTGGAATGAGCAGTGGCTAGAGCATATTTAATGTGGTCCTGAAGCATATGTTTGGTTTAATTTCATCCAAAATGAAGTTCCTTTCAGGAACATTAAGAAGACCTAGTTCACACACTCCAGATATGTCTGTGATGCAAACCAAAGTGCAGTAAGTGGACACAATCAGGAGAATCACCTCAAAAGCATCATTCTGATCTGGATTATAGCATTAATAGCAACACATTTTGAGTAACACTGCACCTGTCTGGCCTTAGCAAAGCAGAAGTAGGTTTAAAGGACAATGTCAAAACAAGGGCAAACTGATGCACTCAAGTCTGTAAAGGCTGATGAGACCTCCAAGTGTCATCACTCCCTCCCGGCAGAAGAACTTTTTCACCGTGGGTACACTCTATCCTTAATTTTAAGGTACATCTCTTTTCTGTTTTTGTTTTTGTTTGTTTGTTTGTTTGTTTTTGTTTTTTCACTTGCTTGTCAGAAGGCCATGAAAAAAAAATGAAACACTCTGTCAAATGCTACTGAGATAAGCTTTGCCAAAAAAATACCAGCCAATCTAATTGCTGACTAAACCTTGTTTCAGGCTGGAGTTTAGCCTGAGGGAATGAAATCTTGTAAAAATATCTGAAGACAAAGCGTAGGAAAAAAAATAACCTTTTCTTTTTTTCCTTTCTTTTTTTTCTTTTTTTTTTTCTTTCTTTTTTTTTTTTCTTTTCTTTTCTTTTTTTCCTGTGGCTATCCTGAACTGCAGACTTGAAATATAAGGTGATGGTTGTGGTGGTGTATTGATCTGAGCCCTTGGCAATTAAAGACAGATGCTCTCCCACACTTTTATTTCTGCATCTGTAACCCAGCGAGGGAAATGGCATGCAAGAAAGAAATCTTTCAAAGGCTTCATGCAGGCTACATGAAAGGAATATACTTATGTTATTTGAAGTCTAATATGTTTTATTGCAAATGTGCAGTGAGTACTGTGGGGAAGGCAGAAACAAACCATCCCCTCTGGTTTCTATAATTTAAGTTGTGACTTTACCAAAGCTTTATGGAAGTTTCATAACAGGTTCAACATCCTATAAATAAAGGAGAACTTCAGTCACTGAGGGGTTAGCTTTGGCACTGATATATTCTCCTGCACACACTGCACAAAGTAGAGCTATGGTCTTTTGAGGGAACTGGAAAGGGATCTGGGTTCCCTCTGAGCCCACAACAGAGGCCACATGTGAGATCCAGAGACAGCAGAGATAAAGCACATCTTCCAAAAACCCTGAAATGGAAATTGCTCCTCTTTTCCAAAGTCTAGGAGTAGCTGAGAGGTGTATGATGAATGTTCACTCCTACAGAGACTTCTGAGTGATTGAACTAAATCCTGAACCCTGGATTTCATAAGTTTGTTTGTAAACTTCACATGGAAAGGATTTCAGCTGCTGCTTAAATGTAAGGAGATACATTAGGTGTCATCCAGAAGAGCTCTACTCTCAGTATCTAAAGCTAAAACCACTCTCTATAAAGAGTATGCTATACTACCTGTTTAAAATCTCATATACAACAATATGTGACACCTGCCTATTTAATGGGCAGATACACAGGCACTAAAGAGATGAGTTAGGGTTGGCTGTATCACTCATATATTTCTGTTTTGATAAACTATGTACCTGTATACATGAGAGCCATGACTTTAAAGATGATTGAAACTTCTCATTAGCAAAATAAAAGACACCTTTTCGCTGTAGAATTATTCTACATGGATCAAAAAAAGACAAGAGTTTTCACATTTTTCTTGCTGGATTGTCAGACATCAGATAGCAAGTTAAAAGAAAAAATCATAAAATCTGTCCCAGCATTTTTCCTGATAAACGGCTTACTTTGTTGGTAAGAAAGAGCAATAGCAGAAGTGACTGCTACAGAAGCAATCAAAGTATGCCAACCAAAGAAGGCAATATTGTGACAGTAGAGTATTTAATCTGAAGTGGGTGACTTTTACCTATAACTTGGAGGGTGTGAGATGTGTGAAAGCTTTAAATCATTCAAAAATATATTAGCTCCTGTTATAAAAGGAGAAAAAAATAAAGACTTTGATGAAAAGGACATGCTTTTCTCAGTGGCCTTTGATACTTTAGATAATTGGAATGAATGTAGTTATTATAGTCATGTTTAATATAGGTTCACAAGGGGAATATTCTGGTATCTGTGTGAATAAATTGAAGCATTCTTGTTCTCATCTGCCTGCTCAGATCATATGCTGTGTAATACAACAAAGAATGTTACTGATAACTCTTGATTTGAAAGATAGATAAAAATCTCTCAGAAACCAAAAAGTTCAGGAATTTCAGGATATGTATCACCTTGCCAGCAGAATACATGAATATTTGGAGTCTTATTCACCAAAAATGTTTGTCTGTGTGCCATGCCATTGAAAGGAATCTGAAAGCTTTTCCAACTTCTACCTGTTTTCCAGTTTCTATAACTTTCTTCTGTACGTTAGGTGAGGATTTCTCAAATACAGTCTTTGAATTGTTTAAAGATGATGAAGGTATGGATGATGGCAAACTGCCATTGGTAACTGAACATGACTTTTATTTATTTTACAGCATGTTCATTTTATATATATATATTTTATTGTGTAACCCTTGATGAGCTCCATTTTACATGCCGAGGTTTCTGAAGTGACGCGTTCTCTGCAGATGGTGTTATGGCAAAGAACCGATGACAAATTCTTTTGTCATAATGGTAACTCTTATCTGAAAACACATCAGAACAAAGCACAAAGTGTTAGAAGGGATTAATTCAATAACATACCTCAGCTCTCAGAGACCTGACTTCACATGTCGGTATCAGTAAACAAATTCCCAGCCACTTCCTGTGGAAAAAATATCAAATTTCAGCATGTCATAAGTATGATTGAAGGGCTGAAGAGTGACAGAAGGCCAGCATTGCTTTGTTTTATAATATGTATAAAAATAATACATATTGAAAGATTCAGTAGAGGATTATAAGTGGGGGGGAACTGTGAACATGCACCTAAAGTTTACAGAGTTCCTACTTAAAACATTTTCTGACATTTTTTGCATAGTTATCCTCCTTCATCCCTTCCAGAGCTGATCACAGCATTCCAGTTGCTCTTACAAAGACCAGTCTTCTTTAATCTTGCCTGACAATTCTACCAACATGGGAGGAGAGAGAGAGGTTACACATAGAAAAGACATATGGCTGCAATACTTGGAGATCAGAGTGATCTGAAAACTTCTGTCCTGGCATGGTGGTCACCTTAATCAAGTGATACTTGGGAGGTAGCTTTCCATTAGTATCTCATCGAATTGTCTATGTTTTCAGATATAGGATGGGAGATGGCTGCACTTCATTTCTCACTGGGCAGTCACAGAATCACAGGATCTCAGCATGGCTGAGGCAGGCAGGGCCCTCTGGCGACTGCCTGGTCCCACCCCTGCTCCAGCAGGGACACCCAGAGCAGGCTGCCCAGGGCTAAGTCCAGGTGGCTTTTGGAGATCTCTGAGGAGGAGACCCCACATCCTGTCTGGGCAGCCTGTGCCAGTGCTCTGTCTGTCACTTGCACAGCACAGAAGGGCTCCCTGATGTTTGGGCATCACCTCCTGTGTCCCAGTTTGTGCCCACTGCCTCTTGTCCTTGCACTGGGCACCACTGAAACGAGCCTGGCTCAGTCCTCCCTTCCTTTGCACCCTCCCAAATCTTCTGCAGTAATATCAACTACCAGGGGTCTTCCAAAAGTGCAATTACTATTTCTTGCACACATTTTCCAAAGCAAAGTCACTGTTCTCTTTCAACCCAGTGGAACTGCTCACCAGGCAGCTCATCACAAAAGAGCAGGCAATCTTCTTGTCACTCACGAGTGCTCACCCCATGCCCCAGACCCAGAAGTGACGTGTTGTCATGATAAATAGTTCATAAATATCACAAAATAATAAAAGATGCGTATCAAAGAAAAAAAGGCATGAGACAGCTGTAAAAAAATAATTATGCAGCTGTTGGTCTCAATTTCCAGCTCTCTACCATTTCCCCCTGCTTCACAACAGCTGCTGCATAGACCTTGTGGCAGATTTCCAACATCTTCAAGAGAAGCTGTTTTACCCTATGAGAAAATGGCAATTTCATTTTTAATTCCAGTTTCAGAAGAGAACAGCAACAGCTTCTGGGGGATTTAACCCACAACCTCCTAAACCCTGAGAAGTCTCTCTAAAATCACCTGGAATTTGCCATTGAGAGAGCAGTGCTTGATGTTCAGAACAACTGCTGCTGTATAACTCAGATCAACAAAGACAAGAGGCTGTGATAGTAAAATTAGAAATATTCAACCTTTGAGAGGTCTGGCTGAGAAGTTTATCCTAACTAAAATCTCTTTCAACCAAAAGTTAGCAGTCCATGACTGTTACCACTCACCATGTCTGAGCTAACACAGGGTGTGCTACTGCCATGAGTGGCACCAAGCCATCTCCCCACACTGCCACATAGCCACTGCTCAGTGCCTTCCCAGAGCTGTGGCACTTAGCAAGCCACTGCAGCAGTCCTCCCCTCCCAGGGATGGGTACCTGACCTTGTTAACGTTGGGATGGGTGGTTTTCCTCACCACTTTCTTTTTTTTTTTTTCCAAAACAGCGTATAAGTCGGGTCTCTACCTTCACTGGGCAGTGATGGGAAGCAGAGGGGGAGATGCTGTCCACATATGCTCTCACCATGTTCACAAAGCTTGTGTCTGACGTGTCCTCAGCTGTGCTTGCATTATTATGCACTTGAAGTACAAGAAAAATAAATGCAGCTAAAAGTGCTCGGCTGTGACATAAACATTGGACTTTTCAGATTCTGATGGATAGCATGCCTTCAGACAACTTGAAGTTAGGTCAGAGTCTGGACTCCAGGATCCAAGAGCTACATCTTTTCCTGCTCTCTTATACTTCACTGAAATGACCTCAGTCCGACCACACAGCAAGTAAGTTACCTCCTACCAAACATTTTCTTTTATGCAAGCAACAGGAGCTGTTAGAAGCTGTTAATGGTAGAGTAGCAGGATGGCCCCACAGGCATAAGCAGGCTGTCACTGCTGCTGAGTATTCACATCAAGAGGTTGCTGCCTCTAGCTGCTCCACTCTGTCTGCAGAGCTGCTCTGTTACTGGCCTGGTTTAGTCACCGTAGCTGTTCACTTTGTTCTCCCCTAATGAGTTATGCAAGATGAAAAACAAAACAAAAAAAAAAAAACAAAAAACAAAAAACAAACAAACAAAAAACCTTCATCCAGGTTCAGGAGCCGTGACAACAAAAGTTAAATAGGTAGGATTTAGGGGCAATTATCTTTAGCAGACTGGGAAATATCTAAATACCATTCAGCAGCAACTAAAGCAGAGTAGAGGACTACTGAAACTGCCTTAGCTGAGCACCACCTGCAGAAATCCTAACTTCACATATCTCAGCTGTATCAGTAGGAAAGAAGAGCAGCCTCTGCATGTCTCCTGGGTGATGAGTGATTTCACACTTACTATTCCTGGTGCTTTGAATAGTTATGCCATCCATTCAACTAATCAGCTGTATCAGTCATCAAGGCAAGAGACAATGATAAATAGTAATGCTCCGACCTGGAGATCCTTCTTAAACATTGTCAGTGTCCTGTCAGAAGCCAGTTACATGAAGATGATTTATTTCTGTAGAACAAGAAAAATGACAATGTGACACAACAGGAAATTAGCAGAAAGGCCTTTAAGGAAAAAATCTGGGATTCTAAAGAACAGCACTTAAACAGACTGGAACAGTACTGTTAAAACAGACACTCAAATGCTCCTTTAAAAGTGCCACTTATTATCTGAAATGTCATTTATCTTTAACTTAGGTTTATGATTAATTATTAAATGGTACAAGGAAGTATGTTGGAATCACATCAAAATGCATTAAACAATCTTAAAAATCATCACTGATGAGAGAAGCCTTGCACCAGAATGGTATTTACATGATTTACGTGATTTACCCTACTGTACGGATTTTCAAAAAAGGGACAAGAATACTAAGGAATGACAGTTTGAGACTTAATACACAAAGAAAAAAAAAAAAAAAAAAAAAGGAAAAATTATGATGCCTCTCCTCTCCTCAGTGTCCCAGTGCATTATCCCCAAAGAGCCCAGAGACCTGTGTTTGTTTCCTTTCTCTGTCAGAGCAATGTTAAGTATCTTATCTTTCGGTAGTTTATTTACTCTTTAATCCCTGAAGTATAAATAGTTCAAGATGTTTGTGTTTTAATGTAAATGAGAACACAGCACTGGCTAAGGTATTCAGCAAAGTAAAATGTCAGGACCCTTTACAAAAGCCTTAGTCCTCTGACTAGGCAAAGTTAATTTCAGAAATGTCAAAAATAAGTATGTACTCTACAGTAATCATTCCCTGGAAATCTGAAGTATCTGGTAGCATAACCAGAATCACATGTAAGGTCACATTATTTCCTATTACATCTTCACATGCTGTGTTGTCCCTTTTTCTGAAGAAATCCCATTTAAATCCATAAAAACAATTGCATGGTGTGAGTCAAGGGGAACGAGAGCATGGGGAATGCATGGAATTTGTTCAGTGGGCTTGTGCAGAAGAACCTGCCAGTAGCAAATTATGTTGACACAAAACACCAATAAACTTAATGTAGTGAAGTGACAAAGTCCAAAATACCTGGGAAAAATGCTGCTGGACACTAGATTAAAAAATAATAATAAATAAAAATGGCAAGAATAATCAATGCAAAGTCAAAACAGTCAACCAATAACAACACCCCCAATAGGAAAACAAAGGCAGCCTGTGTCCTTCCACCACACTGTGCCAGTTCCTAATGACACAGTTTGTTTGGACCTCTCACATTTCCAGAACAACGTATTCCGTGAATCAAATTTGAGTTCATGAGCTCATTAGGTGAAATTCAAACAAGGACAAATCCGCTTTTAATGGATAGCCTAACTTGTTACATTTCTAATTCACTATTTCATTATCACACTAATCCACAAATTCACATTCCTGTGCTTGGGGGCAAGACATTCCCCAGGCAAGAGTGCTGATCCATCCTCCTCCTCCCTCTTGGTGCTGGTATCCCCCGTGTCACACTGGGGAATGTGACAGCCTCAGCAGTCCTGCTGCTCTTGGATCAGCTCCAGCGTCTTTTCGGGTGAGCTGACATACCTTGCAGATTGGGCTTGGGGTATGTAGTGCTGCCGTAAGTCAGTGGAGCTGGGAGAAACTGCCTGTGGGACTGCCGCAAAAATTCAGGAGATGACGGCAGCAGGTGTTAATGGCTTATTCTGGGTCTGGCTGCAGGATGGCCCTTATCTCTTCCTGCCCCTTGTGTTGGTCTCTGGTGATGGCACTGCTCCCAGCATATACCAGGTTTTAGCATGAGCTGTGTTTTAGGCCAAAACCTGAGCAAGAGTTGAGTGAACAGCCACACCTACCCACAGATATGTCTCAAAAGCCTCACTGCTCATTCAGTGACCCTGAGGTTTTAATATTTCTGAAGAACACTAAAAGAAAGGTGTTTATATTCACATCTGAATATTTTTTCCCTCAACCCATTTCAGTGCCTCTCCTCTCCTCTCCTCTCCTCTCCTCTCCTCTCCTCTCCTCTCCTCTCCTCTCCTCTCCTCTCCTCTCCTCTCCTCTCCTCTCCTCTCCTCTCCTCTCCTCTCCTCTCCTCTCCTCTCCTCTCCTCTCCTCTCTCCTCTCCTCTCCTCTCCTCTCCTCTCCTCTCCTCTCCTCTCCTCTCCTCTCCTCTCCTCTCCTCTCCTCTCCAAGAAAATGAAGCAATCTGTAGGGCTAAATTATGAAGGAATATACTATAAAATGTGAAAATTATTTTGATGGGATTCTTTTATTTGTAGCAATGACAGAAATTCTTTGCTGATGCACTGTTCCTAAATACTCTGGGACCCCCTGGGATCTGCTGTACATGGAGTACTGCTAGCTTCCTCCAACAAACAAGGCATGCTGTCTGTCACTGTCTTGGATATGAAATTTATATTTCTATAAATAAAATACAGGCTTTGGAATCCAGCAAACAACCAAGCCTGGGAAGGTAAAACTGGAATCCTGACTCCCTGTGTCCTAGCCCACTGCTTTACACCATGACCTGTTGTTTTATCTCGGCCCAAGTTCTCATGTCACCCCGATCTCCACGGTACTGACAGAGTACTGGTATGACAGCCCAGCTGCTCATGACCCAGAACTTTCACAGATCTGAAATAAATCCTCTGAATCAGCACTAGCATTTGAGTAATTTGTAAACCTATTACACTTGTGCCCCTGTGACCTGTAGAGCTGAAGTCTAAATGGGAGGTTGTTCTTAGTTAACTGTTCATGTAAAAGGTATTTAAGAGGTCCGCTGCATATTTTAGTTTCTAGTATATTATAAATGAGAATTTGTAGTTCCTGGGAATTCCACTCTTGAAAAATGGATGATTTCATCTTGAATACCCCAAAGCCAAAATACTGATTTATTCATTTTCAATTAGACATTTTTGGTTTAGTAATGTAAAAACACATAAATCTGTCTTGCTTGAAATTAACTTGTCCCTTGGCCTTACTTTGGTACCTGAGGTGTGAGTGGTATTCATGTTCTTCTCAACGGCCTGAGCTCCCCACTCAGATTGCCTTTGCAGTTGCCCATGGCTCCTGCAGTGCATTATATCAGCTTAATGAGAAGGGAGACTGCCTAACTGAGACTAATTTGAACTAAGAAATGAAAACATTTCAAGACAAGAAGTCTCAATTCAAGTCAACCACACGTTAAACCTCCTAATGAAATAAGCGATTTTTTTGCCTGGATAATTTTTATTAATAAAATAAATCAAGTGAATTTTTGGACTAGCCTGACCTACATTGAGACAGAAATGTTTTTCTAGACATATTTTACTATTGGATTTTAACTAGGAAGCAATTTGGTCTGTGAATAAGTAGAATCTGATAATTTTCCTTTAATCTCTACATTCTCTTTCAAAAGGATATTCAAAAGAATGATAATTTATACTATCATGATGGTTACCCAATAATTTGAAAGTTATATTTGGAGAAGAAATCTTCTGTCAAATGTTACTGATTTAGAACAACTCTGACACAGTTCATGTTCATATCCACTGCCTATTAATTTTTCTGTTTCCATTTTTCTGCAATGTATATTACCCAGTGCAGCTGCCAAGTACAGCTTATATTGTGCACAGTTTTTCCTTTGATTTTTCCTTTTATGTTCATGATGAAATTATGAAGCAATTTATTATGAAAATAGGCAGTACAAGAAAAACTTACAAGACATTTTTATGGAGCATGTCAAAAATTTGACAGTTTAACCTGGGAAGCAGTAACTATGAAGTCATTGCCATACCCGTGGTATATTTTAGTGATCATCCAACAGGATATATAAGCTGGAAGGAAAAGGTTTTTTAAAAAATGTAGGAGATTTTCCCCTTCCAAGGAAACAACAGAAATAAGATTCTGAGATTTGGAGAGTGTCACTGATATCAACTCCCTGCAAAGATAACAGCAATGGACTATTGCTTGTGGAGAATAGGCAGGCTTAGTGTCACTGATAAGCACCGGCCTTGAGCAAAGGGGAGCTGAGCAGTGTGCTCCTCCTTATCTCTTAAATAAACTTTGTGGGTGGGGATTTGCAAGCTTGGTATGAGAGGCTGCCAAAGGAGAAAGTCTTGTGGTGCAGGGATGGCCCTGTTTCAGCAGCAGAACAGAATCTTGAATGCCACTGTGCTCAGAGTGAAACCTTTTGCTGCATTATGTGTAAAATGAATATTAAATACATATTAAATGATTATTAGATTAATAAAATAAGTATGAAAGTTAACACCGCTGGATGTGGTAAAGAATTTAATGAAGTACATGCTAAACATATATGACTGTAGTACTTGACTCTTCACCCACCCAAGTCATGCAAGTCTTTTGTGGAGTGGCTGGGGGAGGATAAATAAGGTTAGGATATAAAAGAGTATTAGAAGTGAGTGTTAAAAGTTAGTGTTAGGGGAAAAAAAAGAAAAAGAAAAAAAAAAAAAGAAAAAAAAAAGGAGGAAAAAAGAAGGTGAGGGGGAGAAAGAAGAGGTTGGAAACCTAGAAGAGGCAGTTGATGCAGTTGATGGTCTGTGCTCCTCCACCATGGCAGGGACACCTTGGTAAGCTCTGTGCCTCCACCCTTTGGTGAGACAGCATTTTTCTAGCACTATTATCATATATTAATGCTATTGTTGTAAGTGTATTTATCAGTGGCAATTCCAAATTTGTTATATCTGTCATCCCATTAAATACTTTCAACTTCATCAACTTCATGAAGTTGTCTCAGTGAAAGCCCTTAGCAGGGTTCTGAAACATGCAAATATTTGACTCTGATAAGTCCCCTTTAACATTACATTGATAAAGGAATTATATATAAGGATAAATATGTATCAGGATAAATAATGTTTCTTAACTTTTGGATTACAGTTGTGCTACGTGATAGCTTTAGCACTTCATAAGTAAAGCACACCATCAGCATTGAGTGGACAAATGATAATGGTTTGACAGAATAAGGGGTAACACTCTTAAATGAAAAGAGGGTAGGTGTAGATTAAATATAAGAAAGAAATTCTTCACTCAGAAGGTGGTGAGGCACTGGCACAGGTTTGCCAGAGAAGCTGTGGAT